TAAAATTTGCTTCTGAAAACAAGTTACAAGGCCATTTTTATAACTCGATGAAATAAAAACTACTGGCTGTGTTATTCTGTATAAATTATGAAACTTCAAGGCGTATCGGTTTTATTATTTTTCAACATCTTTTGACGCCTTAGCTGTAGAGGTTCAAGTTTTCACAACACTAATAGATCTAGTAATAGGGCTTTCCGTAAAAAATGCATAGATCTACAAAAGCCGAACCACCGAATCGACCGGTCAGCGACCCGGGCACCCCGCTCTCCCCTGCACATTGTGATAACATGTTGCTTCGGTATAATTATTCAACTATTAATACGTGCAGCTATGACAATTGGGATGTACTGACTGACAAAGCGATTCACAGTTTTGTTTTTATTTTACCATATATTTGACTTTAATAGTGCAGGTGATAGCTAGATCTAGATTCCCTGTCTAGAATCAGTAGTAGCAGGCCTATGCTAGAAGCAGCCAGACAGCCTACAACTGCTAGATCTAGATCTGACTCATTGCTATGCCTTTGGGCTTTGGAATTGAAATAAAACGAATTGCACAGTTCTAGTTAATTTTAGATTCAGCAACTAACTGTATTTCCAGAGTTAATAATAACAAATCTCACCATAACAATCACTTTTACTTTTATTAGAATAATTAGATTCAACTTTTTTTCTTCTAAAATCTGTTTTGCGCAAACGTAAGACTTTCTCTACTTGTAGAGCACAGAATTGTAAGCATCTGCTCAGTCTTTTACTTTTAAGTATATATATATATATATATATATATATATATATATATATATATATATATTTTTTTTTTTTTTTTTTTTTTAGTGGACTTTTTAGACAGTGAGTCTCTGATTCAATATTTTTTTTAAAATATGCTAATCAATGAAAATTGCAAATTGATAATAGTATAGTCCTGTAGAGGATAGGTGGACTCTGGGGTCTGCATAGCGAAATACTAGGGTTTTAGGATGTGAACCCCGGAGTCATCGTAGTGAAATAAGGTTTGGTTTAAGTAAAAATTGGTGGACCCCGGGGTCAACGTCGTAGTGATAAATAAGCAGGATTAAGGTGGACCCCGGGGCCCAGGGTCTACCTAGCGAAATACTAGGTTTTAGGACAGGTGGACCCCGGTGTCACCGTAGTGAAATAAGTAGGTTTCTTTAAAGATCGGTGGACCCCGGGGTCATCGTAGTGAAATAAGTAGGTTTCTTTAAAGATCGGTGGACCCCGGGGTCATTATCGTAGTGAAGTAAGTAAGTTTAATTTTAAAAGGATTGGTGGGCCCCGGTGACACCATAGCCGTAGAGGACTAAGAAGGTTTAATTAAGGATTGGTGGACCCCCGGGACACCGTGATTAAACCTACTTATTTTACTACGGTGACCGCATGGTCCACCTATTCTAAAAACCTAAATAGTATTTCGTTAGGTAGACCCTTGGGTCCACCTTAAACCTACCTATTTCACTACGTTGACTCCAGGGTCCACCAATCCTTAAAATGAAACCTAGATCTACATGGCACTTATTTCACTACGTTGACCCCTGGGTCCACCAATCCTTAATTAAACCTAGATCTACTGATTTCACTACGTTGACCCCTGGGTCCACCAATCCTTAATTAAACCTAGATCTACTCATTTCACTACGTTGACCCCAGGGTCACCAATCCTTATTAAACCCAGATCTACTTATAATTTCACTACGTTGACCACGGGCTCCGCCAGTCCTACTATAAAATAAACTGAGATCTACTTATTTCACTATGTTGACCCCGGGGTCCACTGATTCTTAGTTAAACCTAGATCTACTTATTTCACTACGCTGACTCCGGGGTTCACATCCTAAAACAGCATTTTGTTTGGTAGACCCCAGGGTCCACCTATCCTTTTGGGACTAGATAGACCCGTGGTCCGCCTATCCACTTCCTTGATAATAACTGAAAAACATGCCAGTTGTCATGAATAGTGAGGAAAAATGTAAAAAAAGATAATGAGGTAGACTATAATTTGTCAAAAAAATTGCAAGTGCAAGTGAAGATCATAAGATAATTTTGTTATTTTCTGGTAATCTTTTCATGGTTTATAAAATGTTCCAGTGGGCCTACTACTAGATCTATGTCTCTGAAGAACATTTTGCTTGACTTATCAGCTTTTTTCATGTACTTGAAAGCATAGAATATAATAGTTTCACACAAATGTATGCACAATACCTTGAAAAAGAAAGATAAGGTCAATGTTGTTGTTGTTTTCTAACGGAATCCGTTTTACATTGAGAAAAGCGCTAAAAACAAGTTAAAAATTTTTAAGAATGCCCATAATATCAGGAATCCGAAATTACTACCCTGATCTAGTTTGCTTACTCTTTAATAACCATGAACTGTTAAGAAAAAAAAAGAGAATGATGTAGAATTTGTCTAAATATGACCATTAGTATTAGCATTATAAAGATATTGCCCATTTTGTCCAATTATCCTTGCAGGTAAAATCACCCTGTACTGCACCTCAATAAGCACAAAAAGAGTATTTCTATGACTTTGTATAAAGGTGTTTTGTAGTTCAGTTCTATGTAAAATTGTCAACAAAATAATGTACATTTGGACCGTACAAATGAGATAGACACTCATGCACACAATAACATCCACACATTACACACATACACACACACACAAACACACTATTACATTTACTCTCTCTCTCTCTCTCTCTCTCTCTAGATCTCTCCCTCACCACAACCACACATAAAACAAACACATACACACACACACTCACTCACACACACACACAAACACACACACACACACACACACACACACACACACACATACACACACACACACACAACTCTTACCCTTGGTACACTTATAATTTAGTATCATCCTCTATTTTGAAATAATCCCCCGCACTAAATAAAAAGATCAGTAGAATCTCGACCTTCCGAATCCATGGTTAGTTCAAGAAATCTACCATATTATGATGTGGCCTAAATAAGATAAGGGAGGGGGGTTTAGCTTATTTAGGCCACAGTGTGGCCTAAATAAGGTCACCCTTAGAGAAAGGCTGAATGATAAATACATGTTTTGCTGATAAAATAATACATGTGTCTGTGCTGCTCAAGACAGTCTCATTCTTAACTTTGTAAGCTATAAAGAGGCCAATCTGGCAATTAAGGGGTGGTCTATTCCTTGGAGTAACTGGTCTATTCGCTCTGAGGACTTACGATGGATTTGTCCATGGGACTGACGTCATCGCTAGGCCTAAGCCAAGCCCGCCGTGTGTTTGGCCTCGTACGTAGTACATGTACGAAGTTCCGCGACGTGACGGCTTGACGGGAGACGATTTAAAGTTACGAGCCGGCGCGATAACAAACATGAAGGAATGAGGCTCTGTCGCGACAAAGCAGCAGTGAATCCCACTTGTCTATTTGAACGCCTTCATGTTGATACATGTTTATTCTGATTTACTTAAAACTGAATGAAAATCGTCATCAGCAATAAACCTCTAGTCAACAGTTCAGCTGACAAAAATCTGACCGGCACCGCCGGTCTTGCCCAGTTAACAAACCGCCCCTGTTGACGGCCATGGTGAGCAACTCCTTCCTGTTGTCTGTCTTCTTGACCATCTCGGCCTTTCTCTTTGCGTTATTTGTTGTAAAGTTGTTCAGGCCGTCTGTGTATGTTGTTCTGTGTCCTGAGCTGTTTCACTGTAGTTAATCAACAAATGCACCCATACCCGATA